CAGAGAGTATTTATTAACAGTTCACAATCCTGCTGGCAGGGCATAACAAGTGGGGTTCCGCAGGGGTCTGTTTTGGGACCGGTTCTGTTCAATATCTTCATCAGTGATTTAGATGACGGCATAGAGAGTACGATTATTAAGTCTACAGATGATACCAAGCTGGGAGGGGTGGCCAGGGCTTTGGAGGATCAGCTCATCATTCAAAATGCTCTTCGGTAAATAGGATGAAGCTGAATAAGGACAAATGCAAAGTGCTCCACTTAGGAAGGAACTCATACAGAATGGGAAGCAACTCTCTAGGAAGGAGCCCTGTAGAAAGGGATCTAGGGATCATAATGGACCACAAGTTAAACATGAGTCAATGATGTGACACTGTTGCACAAAAAGCAAACATGATGCTGGGCTGCATGAACAGGAGTGTTGCGAGCAAGACACGAGGAGTCGTTCTTCCGCTCTACCCTGCGCTGATTAGGCCTCAGTTGGAGTCTTGTGTCCAGTTCTGGGCACCACATTTCAAGAAAGAGGTGGAGAGATTGGAGAAGGTCAAGAGAAGAGCAACAAGAACGATTAAAGGTCTAGAACACATGAGCGATGAGGGAAGACTGAAGGAATCGGGCTTGTTTAGTTTAGAAAAGAGAAGAGAAGATTGAGAGGGGACATGGTAGCAGTTTCCAGGTATCTAAAAGGGTGTCATGAGGAGGAGGGAGAAAAATTGTTCTCCTTGGCCTCTGAGGATAGGACAAGAAGCAATGGGCGTACATTTCAGCAAGGGAGGTTGAGGTTGGACATTAGGAAAAACTTGTTACCTGTCAGGGTGGTTAAACACGGGAATAAATTGCCTGGGGAGGTTGTGGACTCTCCATCACTGGAAATATTTACGAGCAGGTTAGATAGGAATCTATCAGGGATGAGCTATTCTAGATGGTGCTTGGTGCTACTAAGACTGGATTCAATGACCTCTTGAGGTCCCTTCCAGTTCTAGGATTCTAGGATTCTGTGCTGCCGCAGATGGGTGTGTTACAGTGAGACAGCTTCTAAAGACGGTTGCAAACATTTGCTCAATGCCTGTTGCCACTGGGGAAACTGAGGCACAGAGCTGTGACTTGTTGAACGTCACAGAGCAAGCCAAGGGCAGGGCTGCACACAGAACCCAGCAATCTTGGGTTCCTCACCCCCGCCCTGCGCTAACCTCTAGACCCCATATTCTCCCTGAACCACCAAATAGTCCTAAGGAGTTCTGAATGCCCCCCAGCCCTCGGCTCTAACCTCTAGATGCTACTTCCCTCCCAGCGCCATAGGCCAAAACCTAGCATTACCTCCCCAATTTATCCTAGGACCAGGAAGCCTCCTGCTCTAACCACTACCCAGCACTCTCTTCTATAGCTTAACATTTGTGCTGAACAGAAGTGGATGCTAGAAACTTAGAATAAGATTTTAGCTCCCCTCTCCTTCCTCTGAACCAGTCCTTTCCCTTTAACAGACCAAGGAGCCATGGAATCCGAGACAAATAGCAAGGGCTCTTATTTTGGTGCTTTGTTACTTTAAGAGTTGGCAACTTTCGAAGTATTTAAAAAAAAAAGAAGGTATTTTTCATATATGTATGCCCCCCCTTCCCTCCCTCTCCCTGCCTAGCAGCTTTCTAATTCCTACATTAAATGCTTTTAATTATAGGAGCATTCGGTCTGACCTGCGGGGTTATTTCAAGAGAGGCGAAATGAAGGAATTAAAGAAAATGACAGAGAAAATTGCGGCAATTAGCGGAGTTTGCATTGTTCGGCGTGTCTGTCAAGGGAGCTCTGTGTTTGTTAGTTACAAGTAAATTCATACAGATAACAGAGGGAGCGATTATAAATGCCATCTCGGCTGCAGCATGGTGCCGCAGCTATTTTATTATTATTATATTTTTTTTGTTTAATTCTTTGTAAAATAATATTTCTCCTTCAAAGCAGGGAAGAAAAAGGCTTGCTCTTGTTCTGTCCCTCCCCCTCCCCCGGCCCTGCAGGGCATCATCTGTTCAGCGCTGGTCCTAGAGGTTAATTCCACGTCTGTCTGCTTCGCAATGGGAGCATTTTGCCCCTGTGTCAATGACGGCACGTTTAACAGAGATCGGCTTCTTCTTCAGATGGTCTGGGCTAGTGGTTAGAGCAATGAGTACCTGGCAATTCCCCCCCCCCTCCTCCCCGTTTCTGCCACTGTCTTCAGGCAAATGTTTCCCCAGGAAAAAGTTGTGTTGCTTTCGGTTTGTGTTGCTCCCAGTTCTGGGAGAGAAGTGGTGTCTAGTGGTTAGAGTCGAAGACAATTCTCGTCACAGCACACGTCTGGTTCCTAAAGCACATCTTCCGGGCCACAGGGTCAGGAAGGGGTTTTCCCCTCGCACTGCATTCTGGGAGATACTCTTTTTCTCGCCCTCCATTGAAACGTGAGAGATGGGACATGGGTCAGGGAGGTCCAGGGCTCTGACTCGCTCGTGTGCTCAGGGTCGAACTCTTGATGTGTGGGGTGGAGAAGGAATCTCCCCTCCAGGCAGGGCCGGATTAAGACCTCTAGAGGCCCTAAGCACTGAAAAGATTCTGGTGCCTCCCCCCATATGTAATTCAAAATAAAAACAATACTGTACCGTAAAATCTCATTTTTTTGTTGGTGCCCTTGCTTTGCTGGTGCCCTAAGCATATGCTTAGTCTGTTTATTGGGTAATGGGGGCCGGAGGAGGGGGGTTGTACCTTCCACTGCAGCGTGGGGTGTAAGTCTCCTGCCCCGATTATTTGGGCAGATCTCCGTTAACCAGTTCCCTGCCGTGGCGAGGCCTCGGACACTGGTGCCCCTTGGTCCGAGCGCTTATGAGGCCACCCAGGTGAGATTCCTGAGCTGCCTTGATGCCTCAGCAGAGCACCCACAGCCAGCAGCATGTGCTTCTGCCGGTGGTGCGCATGGCTTGGTGCACAAACAACTATTTATTCCACACATGGATGGAAAATACTAGCGGGAACTTTGGTGGGCATTTGCCTCGCCTCCTTGAGCTGTGATGCTTTCGTGCCTTTTTGGTTGTTGGGTTTAGGGTGCGGCAGCCTATGATGGACACCCACTAGGAGAATTTTGGCTCCCTTCTCCCTGATTCTACGGACCGAATCCAGGCTCTTGGAACCCTCCGTGCACTAGAAGTTTACATGGAGCCCTCTGAATTCCTGGAGGGCTAACAGGGCAGGGGGAGAGGAGCCTGGAGCCTGTCCCCAGCCAGGCCCCTGTGAGCCTGGGGATGAGGTCACCCAATCTGTGGATCTTTCTGGGTCCCAGGCCTCTAGAACCCCGTGGTCAAGCCCCGTGGATGGCACAGTGAGGCATGGTGACAGTTGCAAATTCCCATGGCTAGCCAACAGGCACCTTACTCCACCTGCTCCTTTGGGCAGAGCCTGGCTTTTTCTGTGTCTGTACAGCGCCTGGTGCCATGCTACCTAACAGCTATAATGTTGGACAGCCTCCATGAGTGGGGTTGCTACCGTAATGCACAGCTGCTAACACAATATGGTACTGGCTATTGACTGAATGCCTAATGTTACCGTAACACACCTAATAGCAATACAAATGTACAGCACAAAGGAGTCCTGGAGCTCTAAGGGCTACTGTAATACACCTAATAGCAAAAATATGGACAGTGGTTGGCACAATGAGGTCCGGATACATAAGTGGGCGCTACCGTAATACACATAATAAACTGTAACATTGTTTATTCTGGACTGCTGGGTACCTCTGCAAAATTGGTTTTGCATTACCTGAGGGTGGCAGTGCGGAGGAGTGGATAGAGCGCTGATGTGAGAGACCTGAGTGCTCGTCTCTGCTCTGCAGGGGCCTGGCGGGAGATCTTGAGCGAGTAGTTCCTCTCCCCCGCCCCCGTGCCTTAGTTTCCCACACTGTAAAACAAGAAGAACCAAGTGGACTATAACCAGGTGATAGTGTTCATGTGAAAGCTTCATGGCACAGAAATGCTGATTCAGTGACACCAACTGCTGGTTTGGGTAAATTGATTAAGAAAAAAACCCTCCGAAAAATCGCAGTTTGCAATGATTTAATAATTCAAAACTGCCTTTGATTGTATGTTTTAAATGAAAAAAAAAAAGTCAGACGTGAAACAACATGTTTTGATTTTTGTCACATCAAAAGTTGATTCAAAACAATTTTTTCACCAACTTTTCAATTTGCCAGACAGGTCGAGCATTTTTGTTTTCAAACCAACCAAAAACATTTTTTTAAAACTTTTCAAAGTTCCCATCCCTGAGGTACCCAGCCCCCTGCCCAAGGCAGGACCAATTCCAACTCAATCAACCCAGCCAGGGCTTTGTCAAGCCGAGACTTAAACACCTCTAGGGATGGAGATTCCACTCCCTCCCTAGGGAACCCAGCCCTGTGCTTCCCCACCCACCTAGGGAAATAGTTGTTCATAATATCCAACGTAGATATATAGCCACTGCTATATTTACTGCTTCCCACATCTCTCATTGGCTGGGAACGGCGATCCGTAGCCAATGGAAGCTGCAATTATTCATACCTTCAGAGATGCAGGTAAATATAATGGTGGCACCCCCCCAGGGGCTAAGTCAAATGAACCACCTCCCGTTTTATCACCCACCCCTGCCATAAACGTTCATTTGACTGCTGGCCAGTCACCACAACACTCTCTCTGAGGCTCTTTTCTCCCCCCGAAGAGCTCAGTTCTGAATGCCAGGGCTGCTTTATAAAACACTCTGGAACAGCTGACACAAATTACCCCACCCCCGCTTTGTGCCTCAGTTTCCCTATTTGCAATATATTTATTATTCATGATGATAATGATGATGTTCCAGTTTGGAAACTGCTTCAAGATGCTCCACAGGTGCCAGAAAAGTGCAAAAATAATCACTTTCTCCCTCAGCACCAGCTCCTGCTCTCCCCTTGCTGCCTCTGACAGAGGCAGCGGAGAGCAGGGGAGAGAGGGAAGCGACTAGTTGAGGGGATGTAGAAGTGTCGGCGTGGAATGGACAGTCCCCAGGATTGCCTTCTGGAAGGCTGTGAATGTGTCCGTTCCGTAACCTGGAAACGGTCTTTCGAAAAGCCGATATTCCACATCCTGTATGAACCTACCCAAATGGAGATTTTCATGGCCCATAGAAGCTGGCACTCCGTGAGTCAAAGCAAAATAACTGGGATGGTTTGTCTGAGCCTGTGGCCCAGCAAACATCGCTCGGGCCTCGGCGGCTTTCGGAGTCACCCAAACCCAAACTTCGGACGGAAAACGGTTCTGTCGACATTGTTCTCGGCCAGGTTTCGGGGCAGACCCACGGGGCATACTGACTTCACCCTGGAGGAGACACCGTCCCGTAGCCCCCTCACGGTTTTTAAAGCCCAAATGGCCTTGATCAGTGAAGTTCCTGCCCTGCCCCCTCCCTTCCAGTTCCTCCGTGGACCCCGGCAGCCCAGGAGTCCTGCCTTCAGCTGCTGTGAGCCAGGGCTCTGTGCGGCAATGAGAAAAGTCTGAAAGAAAGGTTAAGCTCGGGTCCTGTGAACCTTTCAGGCTTTTGGGGGAGCTGTGAATGCAGAGCTGATAAATATTCCATCGCCATCCGCCTGGAATGTTCAAAGGACAATGGCAAATTCTCTCCCACTCCCTGGTGCAGTGGGGCTGTGTGGCGTGTGTGATGTGCAAATCCTCCTTTGCCAAGCCGTGTGTGTGTGTGTGTGTGTGTGTGTGCGTTTTCCTTCAACCTGGAAGCTGGTTTAAGATGCAGGGGGAGACCCTGGCAGTATAAGATTCCCTCTCTCCCCCCAAAACATCCAGGAAACAGACACTTGTAAATTTCACTGAACTTCAGGGAAACTCATCCTCCCCCATCCCTGGCTGAAACAATCCCCTCCTTGGAGCCCACCCCTTTATAAATGAGAATTATATTGTGATATACTTCTCCCTGTGGACCTGATGCAGTAACACTGCTGAGAGTGGTTAGGCAGTTAAGTCACATTTCACTTAGCTCAGGTGAGAGCAGCCACATGGCCAGAAACCACATCCCAGTGGGGCTGTATTAACAGCCAGCGCACTGGGCTGAGAGCAGAGTTCTGTGGTTGCTGAGCACCCACTCAGGAGAGATTTAGGTTAGCTGAGGGCCCGCAGCCTCCAGTGTTTCACATAACAATATTTATTCCACACATGGATGGTGAAATGCAGAGGGAACATTGCTAAAGGCAGGTCTATGTAACTACCAGCAGATGGATTTGAACCTGGGACTTCAGTATAGGAGCCACTACAGCTTGAGCCACAAAGCCGGCTGGCTATAAAGCTCCCTTGTGCTTATCTCCGACTGTACGTGGTCAACGTGCCACTCTACAGGCGGGCGATCCACACTAAGGATATGTCTAGACTACGTGGCTCTGTCGACGGAGCCATGTAAAACAGTTTACTCGGCATAGTCGATGAAGCGGGGATTTAAATAATCCCCGCTTCATTAAAATAAAAATGGTCACCGCGCTGTGCCAACAATCAGCTGATTCGGCACAGCACGGCAGTCTATACGCGGTGCGGTCTATAAGGGAAGCCTTGTCACGCGGCATACCGGAGCGATCGACAAAGGCTTCCCCTGTCGACCACGCCGTGTCTAGACTGCCGTGCTGTGCCGAATCAGCTGATTGTTGGCACAGCGCGGTGACCATTTTTATTTTAATGAAGCGGGGATTATTTAAATCCCCGCTTCATTGACTATGCCGAGTAAACTATTTTACATGGCTCCGTCGACAGAGCCATGTAGTCAAGATGTACCCTAACTGTGCGGGTTAAATCTACACTAGGGAGTTGTTTCGAAATAACTACATTCGGCTTAATAACTCCTGATTTTACAAAATCGAAACTGCATGTCCTCACGAGGGAAAAGCCTCGAAATTAGTCCGAGGCAGGCTCTGCGAATGTGGACGTGCTCCCTCAATTTAGAGACCCCGGGAGCACTGCGGAGTAATTAGCTTGAATGACTCTGGGAGTCGTTATTTCAAAATAGCAGCTCCGGCACGTCCACACTCCCGCTATTTCGAAATAACGGTTTTGAAATTAGCGTTATTGCCCAAGGGAAGCCAGAAGGGCAAATTTTGATCGAAGTGGCCCGGCATTTTGAAGTACCGGCCTTGGTAGGGTGGACACGCCCTTTCTAAATGGGACCTTAGGGAGTTATTTCGAAATAACGCCCTGGTGTAGAGAAGAGCTAAGAGGGCTGTAACCCTCTGCCTCCTTGGCCTGGCGGCTCTTGTTCAAAGCTGAGCCATTCTCTGTGGGCCGGGGGAGAATCCCACCGGTCATTTCTCCTGGCTTCGAGGGCCACAGCTTCCTCGCTGCCAGAGATTCCTGCAGGAATCTACTTGGACTGCCATATTCTTGGCTCAGTCTACACCCCCTGCCTCCACCCACCCACCAGCCCTACGCCCCTATGGCAGTATAGGTCTAATGCAGCATGAGCTGCCCACCACCAGGGACTCTCTGCCATGGAAGGTTAAGAAAATTCCCACTTGGTGGCACGTGGGGCTAGTGGTTAGAGCGGGGGGGAGGGGAGGCCGTGCATGAGGACTCGTAGGTTCTAGCCACAGCTCTGCAGGCAGCAGGACCTAATGGTTGGGGGCTACTGCAGGTTGGCTCCTTGGATTCAGTCCCAGTGCTGGCGGCGGGGGAGGGGGGGAGTGTGGCTTAGTGGTTATAGCAGGGGCTTGGGTGTCAGAGCTCCTGGGCTCTGTTTCTGCCCTTCACTCATTAGGTACCTTCAGCAACATCTGTGACTTGGTTGCCTCCATCGGGGTTTTACTCCCCCTCCCTGCCTGCATGTGTCAGGCCTAAATCAGTCACGTTTGCAAACTATTGTCATTTGCAACTGCTAGAGTCTTGTCCCTGCATCTCTGGGGAGTGAGGGGTGTTTTCTCTACCATTCCCATTTGCACTGGGAAACTGAGGCACAGGGCGGGGGAAGGTGACAAGAGGAGGGAGCTGGATATGATTGGTTCCACCAGGCTCAGAAGTGGCGTGGCCCCGCCCTTCACGATCACACCCAATATGCCAGAGGAGCCGGTTCTGACCTCTTGCATTTCTCTCTACAGGTCCCGGCAGGCGGAACATGGCAGCGCTGCTGACCAAGCTCTTCGAACAGCATCTGGGAGGGCACATTTTGCAGGTGAGTCCCGGGAAAGGGTTAAGGGCCCTGCAGCCAGCAGGTTAAAGGGGCTGCGGAGGCCAGCCTGGGGGGAGAGGTGAACTGAGCCTCGCCTGGCGGGGGGGAGGGAATGGGACAACATCTGTCTCTAGCAGAAAGCGGAGCAAATCCCAAGGCCGGATGGTGTGGGTGCCCCAGGGAAGTGCTGGACACACCCTCTCCCCCTGCACTCCCATTTCCGTTTGCACATTCGCTCCTGTCGCCCCTGGTCAGCTCATTCCGCAATTCGCTTCAAGCACCCATGCTGGGTGAAATCAAGCTGGTCCAGCACTTGAGTTGTAATCAGACAACTGCGACCTCCTGTCAAAGGAGAGATGGTGCACTCACATCAGCTGACACTAATGAGGTAGTAGGGGGCACTTTGCTGGGGTTCCCCCCTCTGAGTTAGTGCTGGCCACTAGGGGGCGCTGTGCTGCAGGAAGGGGGCTAAGGGATGCTCGCACCCGCTGAGTTAGTGCTGGCCACTAGGGGGCGCTGTGCTGCAGGGAGGGAGCTCTCCCCCTCTTAGTTAGTACTAGCCACTAGGGGGTGCTATGCTGCAGGGGGCTAGGAGAGCTCTCTACCACTGAGTCAGTGTTGGCCACTAGGGGGCTCTGTGCTGCAGGGAGGGGCTAGGGGGAGTTCTCCCCTGCTGAGTTAGTACTGGCCATTAGGGGGCGCTGTGCTGCAGGGAGGGAGCTCTCCCCCTCTTAGTTAGTACTAGCCACTAGGGGGTGCTATGCTGCAGGGGGCTAGGAGAGCTCTCTACCACTGAGTCAGTGTTGGCCACTAGGGGGCTCTGTGCTGCAGGGAGGGGCTAGGGGGAGTTCTCCCCTGCTGAGTTAGTACTGGCCATTAGGGGGCGCTGTGCTGCAGGGAGGAGCTGGGGGAGTTCTCCCCCACTGAGTCAGTGCTGGCCACTAGGAGGCACTGTGCTGCAGGGGGGGGGCTAGGGAGAATTCTCCCCCACTGAGTTAGTGCTGGCCACTAGGGGGCGCTGTGCTGCAGGGAGGAGCTGGGGGAGTTCTCCCCCACTGAGTCAGTGCTGGCCACTAGGAGGCACTGTGCTGCAGGGGGGGGGCTAGGGAGAATTCTCCCCCACTGAGTTAGTGCTGGCCACTAGGGGGCGCTGTGCTGCAGGGAGGAGCTGGGGGAGTTCTCCCCCACTGAGTCAGTGCTGGCCACTAGGAGGCACTGTGCTGCAGGGGGGGGGCTAGGGAGAATTCTCCCCCACTGAGTTAGTGCTGGCCACTAGGGGGCGCTGTGCTGCAGGGAGGAGCTGGGGGAGTTCTCCCCCACTGAGTCAGTGCTGGCCACTAGGAGGCACTGTGCTGCAGGGGGGGGGCTAGGGAGAATTCTCCCCCACTGAGTTAGTGCTGGCCACTAGGGGGCGCTGTGCTGCAGGGAGGAGCTGGGGGAGTTCTCCCCCACTGAGTCAGTGCTGGCCACTAGGAGGCACTGTGCTGCAGGGGGGGGGCTAGGGAGAATTCTCCCCCACTGAGTTAGTGCTGGCCACTAGGGGGCGCTGTGCTGCAGGGAGGAGCTGGGGGAGTTCTCCCCCACTGAGTCAGTGCTGGCCACTAGGAGGCACTGTGCTGCAGGGGGGGGGCTAGGGAGAATTCTCCCCCACTGAGTTAGTGCTGGCCACTAGGGGGCGCTGTGCTGCAGGGAGGGAGCTCTCCCCCTCTTAGTTAGTACTAGCCACTAGGGGGTGCTATGCTGCAGGGGGCTAGGAGAGCTCTCTACCACTGAGTCAGTGTTGGCCACTAGGGGGCTCTGTGCTGCAGGGAGGGGCTAGGGGGAGTTCTCCCCTGCTGAGTTAGTACTGGCCATTAGGGGGCGCTGTGCTGCAGGGAGGGAGCTCTCCCCCTCTTAGTTAGTACTAGCCACTAGGGGGTGCTATGCTGCAGGGGGCTAGGAGAGCTCTCTACCACTGAGTCAGTGTTGGCCACTAGGGGGCTCTGTGCTGCAGGGAGGGGCTAGGGGGAGTTCTCCCCTGCTGAGTTAGTACTGGCCATTAGGGGGCGCTGTGCTGCAGGGAGGGAGCTCTCCCCCTCTTAGTTAGTACTAGCCACTAGGGGGTGCTATGCTGCAGGGGGCTAGGAGAGCTCTCTACCACTGAGTCAGTGTTGGCCACTAGGGGGCTCTGTGCTGCAGGGAGGGGCTAGGGGGAGTTCTCCCCTGCTGAGTTAGTACTGGCCATTAGGGGGCGCTGTGCTGCAGGGAGGGAGCTCTCCCCCTCTTAGTTAGTACTAGCCACTAGGGGGTGCTATGCTGCAGGGGGCTAGGAGAGCTCTCTACCACTGAGTCAGTGTTGGCCACTAGGGGGCTCTGTGCTGCAGGGAGGGGCTAGGGGGAGTTCTCCCCTGCTGAGTTAGTACTGGCCATTAGGGGGCGCTGTGCTGCAGGGAGGGAGCTCTCCCCCTCTTAGTTAGTACTAGCCACTAGGGGGTGCTATGCTGCAGGGGGCTAGGAGAGCTCTCTACCACTGAGTCAGTGTTGGCCACTAGGGGGCTCTGTGCTGCAGGGAGGGGCTAGGGGGAGTTCTCCCCTGCTGAGTTAGTACTGGCCATTAGGGGGCGCTGTGCTGCAGGGAGGGAGCTCTCCCCCTCTTAGTTAGTACTAGCCACTAGGGGGTGCTATGCTGCAGGGGGCTAGGAGAGCTCTCTACCACTGAGTCAGTGTTGGCCACTAGGGGGCTCTGTGCTGCAGGGAGGGGCTAGGGGGAGTTCTCCCCTGCTGAGTTAGTACTGGCCATTAGGGGGCGCTGTGCTGCAGGGAGGGAGCTCTCCCCCTCTTAGTTAGTACTAGCCACTAGGGGGTGCTATGCTGCAGGGGGCTAGGAGAGCTCTCTACCACTGAGTCAGTGTTGGCCACTAGGGGGCTCTGTGCTGCAGGGAGGGGCTAGGGGGAGTTCTCCCCTGCTGAGTTAGTACTGGCCATTAGGGGGCGCTGTGCTGCAGGGAGGGAGCTCTCCCCCTCTTAGTTAGTACTAGCCACTAGGGGGTGCTATGCTGCAGGGGGCTAGGAGAGCTCTCTACCACTGAGTCAGTGTTGGCCACTAGGGGGCTCTGTGCTGCAGGGAGGGGCTAGGGGGAGTTCTCCCCTGCTGAGTTAGTACTGGCCATTAGGGGGCGCTGTGCTGCAGGGAGGGAGCTCTCCCCCTCTTAGTTAGTACTAGCCACTAGGGGGTGCTATGCTGCAGGGGGCTAGGAGAGCTCTCTACCACTGAGTCAGTGTTGGCCACTAGGGGGCTCTGTGCTGCAGGGAGGGGCTAGGGGGAGTTCTCCCCTGCTGAGTTAGTACTGGCCATTAGGGGGCGCTGTGCTGCAGGGAGGGAGCTCTCCCCCTCTTAGTTAGTACTAGCCACTAGGGGGCGCTATGCTGCAGGGCGCTATGCTGTAGGGGGCTAGGAGAGCTCTCTACCGCTGAGTTAGTGCTGGCCACTAGGGGGCGCTGTGCTGCAGGGAGGAGCTGGGGGAGTTCTCCCCCACTGAGTCAGTGCTGGCCACTAGGAGGCACTGTGCTGCAGGGGGGGGGCTAGGGAGAATTCTCCCCCACTGAGTTAGTGCTGGCCACTAGGGGGTGCTATGCTGCAGGCGGTTAGGGGAGCTCCCTCCCTCTGAGTTGGTGCTGGCCACTAGGGGGCGCTGTGCTGCAGGGAGGGGGGCTAAGTGGCCTTTTCCCCCTCTGAATTAGCGCTGACCCCCAATGGTGCAAGAGGGTACTGTGCTGGGGCGCAAGGTGCAGAGCTGGCGGCCTGGTCACGTGCAGTGTTGCCAGAGATCCCTGTGGCACAGAAGCAGTGAGTCCAGGGACTCGGCCAATCCCGTCTCAGGTAGCTGCACTTTTCCTCTTTCGACACCCCTGCAAGGTCAGACGGAAGCAGGATACGTTCTCCCCGAAAATGGCTGCATCCTTTTGCTGTGCAGCTGTCAGACAAGCGCCGCGGTGCCCCCCCAGAGGAGGCTGCATTGAAAGTGAGCACTCCCTGGCTGTTTGTCCCTTTCAGTTTGTCGGCAGGCTCCTCTTCGGAGTGTCTACTGCGTGATGTGGCCACAAAGGCCAGAAAGGGGGAGCAGTTTTATGTGTTAAAATGGGAGCTGTTCTGGAACCAAATTGGGATCTACAAGCCCCCTAAAGCTGCTGATACAAACCACCAGGGGCACGTACCATGGAGATTGGGGGAGTTCACAGCCGGATCCGAACCTCAGAGACGCCCTTGCTGCCATCCCATGGGCTACTGCGTGATGTGGCCACAAAGGCCAGAAAGGGGGAGCAGTTTTATGTGTTAAAATGGGAGCTGTTCTGGAACCAAATTGGGATCTACAAGCCCCCTAAAGCTGCTGATACAAACCACCAGGGGCACGTACCATGGAGATTGGGGGAGTTCACAGCCGGATCCGAACCTCAGAGACGCCCTTGCTGCCATCCCATGGGCCAGCAGTCAGTTGTGTTTTGCTGTGACCTTGGGGCTCTGAGATGTGGCCCCACTGAGCCAGCTGGAATTATATTGCCCCAGGGGAAAAGGTGAGGCACCATCCAGGAATCCCTCTCATTTTTCTTCTGTCCGTGTGCAGAATAATTGTTGTTATGTGCACCGAGGCATGAGCAGACGTGCACCACCAGTAGAAACACAGGCTGTGGAGGATCTGCTAATCAGCTGGCAGCGTTTGAATCTCTCCTGGCTGGGTGCCCATACGCTCAGCTTACCAAGATCACTGGTTGTTCTGAATGTCGAATAATACAGACATGTGCTTACCCAGGAGATGCCCAGCTGAGAAGCCGCTTAGTCTAGAGGACAGGTTGCGCCTGCGTGCTGATCCCAGTCCTTTCCTCTCCCCCGTCCATGGCAAGATCTTGTGAGTTTGTGCAGCTCCCAGCACATTGCTGTCAGCCCCGACCCCAGTTCTGGTCGTGGTCTAGGGATGTAAGTGACGAGTTGGCTAGTCCCTCAACTAGTCGCTTCCCTCCCTCTCCCA